TGCGAGGCAGGGAAACTTGAGACTCTGTAGACGATTTAAGACCAATACCTAATTATAATGCAATGACACGTTACTCTTGTGTCCTTGCAGTTGTCCAATCATCGGAATAAATAATTATCGCTTTTATGTTTAATGCGGCCAATTTTTTATGAGTTTTTCAACAGCAGCATGCTTGGAAAATTTACTGCGAAATAATTGGAACAAAATTGGCCACGTCAATAAATTTTTATAAAGTGAAAGAGTTCGTCTAGGGAAGTATTTCCACTTTGTCTATTTATGCCGCCAAGCAGTAATGTCAGCATTACTACGTTCCGGTTTTGAAAGGTAAGGGTGCTGGTGAAATTACAGGCACACGGGACTTGTTAACTTATGTCTAAGGGTGACGGGCGCAGTGGCAGTGACCCTCAGATCTTTGCGTTTTAAAGCTCTGAGTGGCATTGCAACTGTTATTGACAGGCGTGTCCATAATAGTTGCGATGCTACTTATACGCACGACTTGTTCGTACCGTCTCTTAATATTGTAAAAAAAAGTATTTCCCAAGTATTTTTCTTCTTCAAAAACATAAGATAATTAATTCTATTCTAATATTAAGTTTATTAAATATCACGAAGTTGGCAAAAAAGTCGTCGTCAAAAGCCAAAAACAATGCAACAAGGACACAGAAAATTCGTAAAGTCTATTGTTTCATTCCGTAGCTCAGAAGGCAGAGCGTCACACACGATATTGTGAAGGCGCTGGTTCCAATCCAGCCGGATCGATAGAATATTTTTGCATTAATAATTATAACAAAAATAGTATTCTGTACAAAGATCAAATCAATTGAATAGGTAGAAACAATTGATGTAACAACTTTTTATTTACCTGAAATTGCCTTGGTCACAATTTTGTTTCAAATTGCCGAAACAATTAATATCTACTAGACTACATCATTATTTTGCTTATTTTAAGTTAATTTAAAATGGGCATGTTGTACATAACAATAATAAATTTGGGTCACAAAATCCAAAAGAAAACAGAGATATCAAAGTTTTTGGAACAATATCAAAGTATTTTAGAACTTTATTCAAAGCTTTTATTTAAAAGAAAAAAGAAATGTAGTAGTAATAAATTTGTTACATCACACGTCGGCTTACTCAAAAATTACAAAAATGTGGCAAGTAAAAAGTGACGGTTATGTTTTCGAATAAATACACCGCCGATGAATCTTGTACAAAGTTATCATAAATTTGAACCGAAAAGCAGGAAATTTTCTGTCCGCACCTAAAACGAAAACCCAATAAAATTATGATTTTTGATTTATGACAACATTGAATCCAGTGTGCAATATTATATCGTGGCTCCATTACTTAATCATTTGCATGATTTTTGTTTTGTGATTAACAAAGAACTATTTTTTATCGACTTCAAAATGTTTTACTATATTCTTTACACACGTACCACGTACACGTAATCCTATTGTTACTCAAATAAACCAAAATTTTGTTAGCAACCCTAAAACATTGCGCGCTAGTGTATGTTAAAAGTCGACCTTTATTTTCTACATAAGGTTTGGGAAACTTGAATATGTCCAACATGTAACTTCAAGGTTTTGGTTGTTATGTGGCCTATTACAAGTGACTGTTAAGAGTTAAGGCCTTGTCAAGAAGTAGTTAGAACACTCTGACACTAAAGCAATTATTTTCAAGCACTGCCGTATTAGAGATACGGCGAGTTTCTATGTATCAAACAAGTTAGGTAAACGTTGATTATGAAAATTTTACAGTACTTTATAAACTTCGGAAAAGTTGACTTTTAGACGAAAGACGAAGTTTATTACAAATCATAAAAATGTTTTGTCAAAATAACAGCCTACGTTGGATATTGCCTCGTGAATAATATAGGTACATGTATATTTCAATTAATATTTCTAGAGATTAATAAAATTTGTAATTACTCTTCCGGTACCTACTTAACAATGCATATTTACAATACTACAACTACACAATATATTGGCTATGAAAATATATTTTTTTTAAATAAACCAACGGGTTCTGGCTCTTTCAGGTTTTTTACAGGTCCCACTGTCACGACTGACTCATGGGTGACCATAGAACCTGTAAAGAGTCCGACACGTTAGTTGATAGATTCGGAAAAAATAATATCATTTCATTACACAAAAAAATTATATTACGTACTCACGACGTAACTACATCTGCTTTGGGATTGCGACAAATCAACATTACGTAACAGCAAATTGAACAATGTACAGACAAGATTTTTAAAAATGAAGTTGGTTTATTAGAAATACACCCTACCTTCTTGAAAATACGATTAAGACATATATTATATGGTGTGCATTATAAAGTTCATCTCATACTCATAACATAACAGGTATTGCACTGCTTCGTCGAGGTTCCCTGTTAACAAGTCAACAACATTTGGAACTAATGTACGCTAGCATCCCTCAAGAGAGTGCCTTGAGCGGTCGGTGTCATCTGCGGCGTCAAAATAACTGGAAGATTTGATAGTCAAATTTCATTTATGATAAGATTTTATTGATTGAGGATTTTTAGTTGACTCTTACTTATGTATAACATTAATTTGTATTATTAACAGACTGATGGACCAACCAGTAGTAGTATGAATTATACAAAATATTTTTTCATTAAATATTTGTAATTGTGTGTGTACTACCGGTAAAGTCGATGCGTTACCATCGTAAGTTATTTTTGCGTGCAAGCGACAGCTAGTAACAGCCACCCCCAGCTTGCATGTTGTTGTCGACTAATGTCGTTTAAGGGATAGATCATATTTTTTAAACAAAAGGTTTTTACAAGGGATCAGACTGCTACAAGGGAAGGCTTCAATTTCGCTGATAGTACAAAGTGTACATTAAGTAATATATAAGTAAATGTCAATTATGTAAGTTTTTCTGGCGTAATTCTATGTCATCCTAAGGCCCCGCGTACATTAAAATGTACATAATATCTGCAGTGATTAAGACCCGACAATATTTTTTCCTGTGATCATGTAAAGGCTTAAGTGTATATTGTAATGAAAATATCATGTACAAATTTAGCGCTATATATTCTATCGGTCGCTCTCAGACTAGTGTTCAGTAACTAATTTCCGTGGCAATTTTTATTATTTAAGTATTCGATTTTTTAACGTGCAATATTATTTAATAATTACACAATAAAATACTTGAATATTTAAATAATAAACATTGCCTGGAAAATTATGTAGTGAACACTAGTCCGAGAATGACTGTTATATGACCATAAGGTATCTAGAAAACTATTGGGCATATTTGCTCGGGCCTGAAATAAGTGATTATATTTAGTACATTTAAGGGACATTGGGCCTGTATCGCTTTTTTACGTTGTATTTCGCTGGGTATTATGAGAATATGTAGGTGATCTGATTTTAATTGTTTTTTTTTAACAAATCCTGGCTCACAATAACATCTGATAATCAATAGTACATGCACTATTTTGTTTCAAATGTAAATAATCTAAAAGTTATTAAGTAACTTTAATGAATTGTTATATACATGCAAGACAATGCTGAACATTTTAAGTAGGTACATTTTTTGGAAAACTGTCCTAAATTTCTGTTCACAACATAATACAAAACTACTGTAGTTGTGATTTAAAACGATAAAAGTATGCTAATTATAACGTTGCGTGTTTGTACAAGAACATGAAGTTATTGCAGTTTATGATCCATTATATTCCTGATGTCATTGTTTCTGAAAATTAAAAAGTTACACCATAACTTTGATCGATGAATTGTACTCAATAACTGTTAGATACAGGAATTTACAGTGTAAGCAGCTTTTTTCTGTACTTTAGAAAAGTTACGTTATGGTATTGTAGCATGTCATTCCTATATTTCTTTAGTTGTGGTGTAGAAATACACATAATACATGTTGTAAAATTAAAACTATAATGTACTATATATACAGCAACGTCATTTAGCAACAAAAGCTGTTATATATTATCTATTGTTGTTGATCAGGTTTACTATTTTAACCTTGTTTGTTGAACGCGATAAACTGCATTGAAATGAATCCAAACAATGTACATAAAATCGTGCTTTTAATAAAACTATCTATAGAATTATATTGTCCGTTTCAATTTATTTAACTACGTCACTACCCTTTCCGATCAACAAGTGTGTTGAGCAAATTTAATTAATGATATACCAACATCATAATCTTGCAGAGCCGAAAGATTTTTATGTACGATAGCAGAATGTTTTGAAAATCAAGCAAGCGCATATAATCCGAGAAGTTATCACATACACATCATAGCATAATTGCTGTATTTTACGTTATTAGTTATTAGGTATTGTGATGTTTTATTTTATTTCATAGGTTAATAAATTTATTGAAAGACCGAGCGAGCGCAGTATACAAATTACACACGTGTAAAATTTTATGTTTATTTAAATAGGAAATACGTAGTATGTACAGCATATTCAATTCATGACTCATATTTGTTTGAACACAATGAACAGTCGATTATGTATATGTATGTGATTTTGATTGTTGAGCTTTCGAATTAACGCGTAACTCTTAAATGAATATTACACATTTATGGTAAAATTAGAATGACGTAGTAGGAGAAATAAATCTGTTATTTTTTTGCATTGAAACTGCTTACGATTGATTCAAGCTACATTAATGAGGTAATTAGTACAATAATTAAATTTCTGATAAATTATGCTTAAACACAAAGTGATAACAAATTTCATTGAAACTCTACTATGAAAATTTTAATGAGAATTGCGACTCTACATGTTGAGTGTTTTAACTTTGGGCACTAAAACGCCGGAAAATTCTTCAATATTTAATTTTGACCATATGAACATACCACAATTTAGTGCTGTAAACAAAATAAATTAGACATAAAATTATGATTTTCATATCGCACCGCATTGATTACAATAATGAACAAACTTTTTTCGAGTAATACAATTTGTATTAGAACTTTTGGATTCGAAAAGTTGTACGTACCTGATTCGGAGGAGAGCCTCGGAAGGCGAACTGGGATGTCATTTTTCACTATTTAAGTTTATCTTTAGCTAGTAAAAGATCACCGACTTTGAGAGTCCGTCCGTGTCACTGCCCGCACTCACTTCACAGTTGCATGTTGTCGCGAGCCGGCACTACATCCCTGGAGCAAGTCGGAGGCAGCAAGCGGGAGAATACAGGGTGCACCCGCGACGGCGGCCGGCCGTGGGTGCAAATATCGATTGCGGTGCAGACTCAAAATGCCAACGAAGCGTCCAGGAGCAGAGCGAGCCGCGTGGTGCAGCGAGCGCGTGGTCGCGCGCGCGGCGGCAGTGGGTAATGCGGTAGCTGCCCGCCAGGTGATAGTAATTGGCGCCGCCGTCCTGCTCTGCCGGCGACCGTCCCTCTCGGCGCGCACACGCACACTCCTCCTAGTGTGCGTGATGCTCGCACACCGCTCCTTCTTTTCACGCTCGCGTCGCCGTTTGACCCCGCGCCGCCGCTGCCGACGTTCTCGATTTTTGCGGTGCGGTGGGTGGCGCCCGTCACAGGGGCGGCCCGACGCGGTGGGGGCAGTCGGAGGTGGGGGTAGATGCACTCCTTTCTTTTTTAAAGCTTCTCTTTCTTTTCTCGTATTTTTTATGTCAGTATTGGTACGAAACGATCTTTTTAATTTTATTTTATAACTACGTATATATTGTGTGATAATTAACAGTGACGATGTGCACGACGAGCGAGTTTTGCCGAAGCGTCGGCTTAATTATAGCTTTGTATTTCATTAAAGGTAATCACGACATTTGTAATTTTTATTTCCCCGTACTGTGGAGATCTATAGCTAGTTCATCTATAGAGTCGAAGATGGCGGTTGAAGTTCAGTCTGTTGTGTACTCAATAGCTTATATTACAGGGGTCGCTTTAGTTGTGGAAACATATTGGCGGCGATAGTATTAAACGGACTTTTGAATGTGTTCCTCATACATAACTGTCTCTGTATAGCGCATAAATTACCTAGTGCAGAGTAAGAGCAAGATGCGTAATTTTCGGTAAACCAAGAAAATGTTAATAAAATGTTTCTTTAGCGTCCACTTTTTATGGTCGTAGCCATTTTACCCCTGTATTGCTGTTACCCAATAATCGTTTAAATACTATCTTACAGTATAAGACGTCACCAATTTAAAAAATTAAATATTAATAAATTATTTGTTTTTGATTTCATTTTCTGTACAGAATTTATTATTTGTTTTACGTTGGGGTTAAATTTTATTTGATACCTGTGTACAAGTATTTTACATACCTGGTAGAGGCATATGTTCTTTTGATTAACAAGCTTTATTAACTAGGGTTCTTGGCTGTATTAGGCACATTTGGCTTAATTGACATGCAACGCCATACTGAAACGAGAACAGTTGATAACGAAAAGTACAATCAAACTATGACAATAACACCACCAAGTGTCGGAATAAAAAGCGCAACGTCGCCGATCGATCTGTTCCCCTCTTCTTTCTTATCGTGCGAATATTTCACACTGAACGCATACCGACCGAAAAAACTCACACAGATATAAAATATTCAAACGGTATAACATAAAATAAATTATCTTAGGTGAGTGTGAGAGTGTGTGCGTAGCCCCCTCCTCTGGGCGGGCCGCCGGCAACCGACCAATTGGGTCGAGCGGCGCGCGACGACGCCGCGCCAAAGTCACTCAACACGTCGCTGTCGTTGCAACCGCACGCTTCGCTCTCGCTGTTCCGGTACCGGCCATTACTATGCCCTGACCTTAATCCTTTGACTCATTACACCCGCTCACCTACACCACTACTCTGTACACATCTGTCTTCATTTTGCTCTACAATACCGAAGCAGTAATGAAAATTAATGTTGACTTTTCGCTAGCTTAGAATCGATCGAGTTATTAAAATGATTAAGTATCTTCTTTCTACAATGTACAGAACTTTTAATTTCGTGATTCTTGACGAAATGACTGATTATTTTAGGTTTATAGCAATCCACGTCCTGCGCCAAACATCGTTGATAGGCGCGGTCAGGGCCCTTCATGCTGCTCGCATTAACTGAACGCTTGGTCGAACTACCCATTGTTTGTAATTTTATGCTTAGAAAATTGCGTGTTTGGAACCAGATGAAGTGTAAAGGCAATTTATTCCACTGGTAAACCAGCCTGTTTTAAATGCTTCAGGCCACTCGTGTTCTTATCAGTAGGTACGTACATATATCATTAAGTACTTAATCTGGTGAGGTAATTATGCACGCAGCTAAAAAGAGCAAAGTTATAATTGCTTACTTCAACGTTAAAGGCATGATCCTTTTTAACGTGTAATATTTTTTTTTCCGCTCTATTTTCCGTGCCACCACACGTGTTGACCGACACACTTCTTAATGCCTATAGACAGATAATAATATCGAGGCCGACTTATTGAAATAAGACAGGAAGACTCAGCGGCGTCTTTAAAGACGTATGCATAAGAAAATAAAAAGAGAGTGAGCATTATTTGTTTTAGTCAAATGAGTTTCTGACGTCGACCATCTCAAACATATTGGATTCGTGGAAGCTGCCTTTATTAGCAGTCTGCACCTACGGTTTAAAGTCGCATCGCATTTAAATACCATACTAAAAGCCTCAATCTACATACGTCCTATAAAGCAAATCCTAAAAGTGATTTATACCGAGACCCTATTCGATTGAAGTAGATTACAAATAATGAATAAAATTGCATACGAAATGAGTAGACCGACAGTCCGTGGATCTACTGTTTGCGCGGGGTAGGTACGCGGGGAGTGCAAGCGAGCTTATTGCCGGTAAACCATATAGCTATGGGTATGTTCTGCCGGGGTGCCTTCATGCGCGTACGTCAGATATATTGCTCATTGAAGTATGCTATGCCCTTGGAACAATGTATGTATCCAGTGAATTTTACACCAGGGGCACTACTTGTAGAATACTGCCTTGTTTATATTGAAACCAAGTTATATCAAATTGGCAGAATTCTGTGACTTTTCTTTTGTAGCTCAAATAATCTTTTTGTGAGTAAAATTAACCTAGTAACATTTCATGTTATTAATAATAGGTTAATCGGTTTAATTGCTGTTTGAAAATTATAATACACACGAATTTAAAAAAAAGACATAAATGAATGAATGGTTGAAAAAAGAAACAAAATTACCAGTATTCCAGTTTGCTGAAAATCACTAAAAACAGAAAATAAACAATTTCTTATAAGAGGGGAGGACAAGTTGCAAAAACGGTTTAAGACAAAAGTGTAGCGAAACCAGAAATGAATCCGGGCGGGCGGCGAGTTTCCTACCGGCCCCTGCGGGTGAGGCCGCGGAAGTAACACGGGAGGCTAACCCATAGAGACAACAGGCTTTAGAAAGTCCTTTAAACATTATCTACTTTGAAAAAATTAAATTTTATAAATAAATATTAAATATTTTATTTACCTGTTTATTGTCTGAAAAATGTTCAAACGCAAATACCTACAGAAAAAAAGATTTTCGAGTTATAAAGCCTACTGAAAATATTCTAAATATTCAACTTCTCATTATATTGCATTGCAAGTCCATATTTAATGACTATAGCAATCACTGCTATAAGGTAGATCGTGAATATTGGACCCAAATACTATGATTTGGCGCATCTAAAAGATTTGTAGCTGCAGTTGATAGCCGCACTCGCCGAGTACACTGTTTGTGGATACGGTGGCACGGGTTAACAAAGTAGAGGGATGGTCATTTAGTGGAAGGTAGACGCCACCCCGTGTCTGCAGCGCAGACTGATTAAACGATTCCCTGTCTGTCTCTAAACTTGTTTGTTTTGCTCTCTCATCGATATTGCTCTGCGCAGTCGTTGAAAGTATTCGACTCTGTAGTGCTTACGTTCAATTTTTTCTATTTGAAATAAAATTAATTGATAAAATAGGTATATCGCACCCTTTTCTAAAATTCCTGGACCCTGGAAAAGTTTGAAGAGGCAGCTACTTGATATTCATTCAACGTTTAGTTTGAACTGATATTTTGCTTAGGAATCTCTCTTAAAAAATAAAAAGATTGAAAAAAAAACCAATAACATCCATACTCTTGGCGTAATAAAGTCACATGTGATCGTACGTCGCAAATGTTTTTATCACATGAAAGTTATAAAATACTTTACTTTTACAATAACAAGCGACGGAGACGAACCATTCGTGCGCCTGATGGTAAGCGACATGCCTGTCCATAACAATTGCAGTACCACTCAGAGCTTTATATCGCAAAGATCTGAGGCGCACTGTCACTGCGCCCGTCACCCTGAGTTATAAGTTGCCAAGTCCCATGTGCCGGTAATTTCACCAGCACCTTTAACCCTTCAAAACCGGAACACAGTAATGCTGCCATTAATGCTTGGCGGCAGAAATAGGTAAGGTACTTCCTACGAATTCTTTCACAAGGAGCTCTACTGATACTAAAAATAATATATGAATTATATGAACCGAATTATGTGTGTGACATTTTTAAACTCTCTTGTTTACGCATAAAAAAGTAATTGACCATTTTCGTTCCTACAATCTTTAAAACTCTCTATCGAAAGTTTTCATTATGCAGAAGTGGCCTTGTTACTCTAGGAGTAGGATAAGTTTATTAAATATCTAACAATAGAAAAAGAAGATGAATACAAAAATAAGATAAGTAACTAAGCTTGAAAGCCAATACTTGGTAAGTCAGATATCCATGTTTTTTATGATATCAAGTGACGCGACGAACAAGTCGTGCGCCTGGTGGTAAGTGACACGCCTGTCCATAACAGTTGCAGTGTCACTCGGACAGAGCCCGTCACCCTGAGACATAAGTTGACAAACTCCATGTCCCTGTAATTTCACCAGCATTTTTATACTTCAAAACCGAAACGTAGTAATGCTCACATTTACTGCTTGGCGGCAGAAATAAGCAAAACTACCTATTCATACATATTTAAACTGGGAAATAAAAGATGATTTTTAATAGGTGGCAGTGCCTCCCTGGACGAACTCTTTCATAAGGAGATCTGCTTCTAAAATAGTATACCTACATTTAGTTCAAGTTAAATGATGTTATTTTTCCCGATACGTGTATCCGTTTATCTGATAAGTAGCCTAAATCACAAATCAAATATGCCATTCAATCGGCTTTAAGTTAATGCCTAACGTAGTATAATTTGTACAGCATTGGTGAATTCGATCATTCTGTCGAATTGATATGGATAAAGAGCAATTTGTCCAATTAATTCTTCTTTGTTTTTATTCTGAATCGAAATTGTACTTTTGTTTGGGTTATCGAGGTATGTAGAGATACATTATGATTT